AAGTGTAGTGGCATCTTTTCTGACCTTATCAGCTCTGTGAAATATCCAGTACACATACATCCTGGACAAGCACTTCATCCAGTCTAGGGTGAGCCTCCCCTCCCCCAGTCCTAGAGCTTGAGCCCTAGGTCTTCATATTGAGCTGTACCCTCAGAGCCTTTAATGTCTATATTTTTAGTTGGAGACAGGGTCTCCCTCAGTTGCCCAGGCTGGGCTCGAACTTGTGATCCTCCTGCCTCAGCCTTCCAAAGTGCTGAGACTACAAGCATATACCACCATGCCCAGCCAGCACCTGTATTTTTTTCTCTCTCTTTTGCCTTGCTCATTTGGAACCTGATGCTCCATCACACTATGAACCTGACAGCTCCATTTCACATCTACAGTGATCTCAAACTTAGTGCCCAACGGAAAGATCTTGATTGTGCTCCTCCCTGTCCCAATCTTCCTCTCCACGAAGAGCATCACCCTCAATCCGAAACTGCTGACCCCAGAAACCTCATAGTCATTCCACCTGTCTTGTCCTTGCACCCCAGTCACCCCAGCCTGAGCCCTGTGCCTTCTACCACCAGCATCCAACCTCTCCCCAGCCTGGTCTTCCCTGTGACCCCCTCCTGCTCCTCTTCTCTTGCTCCTGTAGCCTCTGTTCTGTGTCCCCCAACACTGTACCTGCCCCATCCACCTTCTTCCACCAATGTACTCTGTTTCAAGCGTGAATTAGGGCTTGGTGCTTCCCACTTTGAACTTTCAGTGGCTTCCTGCTGTAAATCATATAAAACCCAGGCCTCTCCGAGGTTCCCCCAAAGCCAGAGCTGTGCTGCCCAGGCCTCTTCTCCTTGGTGCACTCTCTCTCCTCTCATGCCAAGTCCTAGGAAAAGCCCATCAGCCATTGTGGTTTTGTGGAAGCACTGATCACACTTCACAATGCACCCCCTTTGGGCACCTGCAGGCGCAGCATCAGCGGAGGCAGGACAGCCCACCTCTCAGATTCCCTGCCCTTAAGTGATGATTGGCAAACAGGAGGTGCTCAAAAAGCAGCTGCCACAGCACAAATGCATAAACCAGAGATTCCTTTATTTCCTTTTTGTAATTAAATCAGAGTTTCTTATAGCATGAAAATGTCTGTTACTTCACTCTACGACCCCACAATTATCACTGTCACTTTGGCAAATGGGTTCTTTTTCTTTTCCTCCACTATAAAATTTTTTTCTTATTGTTGCTAAACCAACTGCCTAATAACTAAGCATATCCCAACTCACTCCCAGCTTATTGTCTTTTTTTGTGAGAAAAAAAAAAATCCACTTCTTAAGTAAATCGAAATTACTATGAACAGCTACTTTTTTAAAGACAGGGTATTGTTTTATAGGTCAGCCTGCCCTTGAACTCACTATATACCCCAGGCCGGTCTTGAACTCTCAGCAAACCTCCTGCCTCAGCCTCCCAAGTGCTGGGACTACAGGCATGCACTACCATGCTTAGCAACAAGCAGTTAGCCTAAGAATTTAAAATTCCTAGAAAATATCAGAGGCTTTTCATTGAGTATTTTATTTAACCAGGAAGAAAACATTTACTGAGAGAGTCATGGGATGGCTCACAGTATCGGGACCATCCTATAGATTAAAAATGCCACTGCATCCTTGTTAAAAAGCAAGCCAATAACCACAACCCGGCTGTTCTTGTCTCATTCTGCCCATAAAAGAAACCACCTACATTTTAGCCTCTCCTTTAGTTCACTGGTTTCCCTCCAATATGCAAATCCAAAACTACAGTATCATTAATCCACAAGATCCCAGCAGATTCTAATCCCCTCCCAGCCTCATGGTTTATGAGGTCAGAAATAAAGTGAGCCAAATCCAGCTGCTCTTGGAGCAGAACAACCCAGATGCGCCTACACAGCCTGGGGCCTGAGCCTCTGGTCTGGACCCTTACTTCCTATGTCACTATCCAAAGTCAATAAAAACATCAAGAGCCTTCCCCCAAAATGCCTGTGGTAAACTAGTACTCTGAATGTGAGAAATACAAAATGGTCATTGAGTCCCTCAGCCAAGCTCCAATCACGCACAGATGAATTAATTCTCTGCAGAAAGTGGTGGGCAGGGCCACGCTGGTCTTCGGGATCTATCCCCTACTCCCTCCAAGCTACCTGTGCCTGGAAATAACAGCTCAACTAGCCTGGGACTTGACTAAGCAGTAGGCCAGGGAGCCAGATGGCAGGAAAGGAAACTTCCAAGATGGACTGAAATGATTTCTGGCGCCTGGGATTATCTCTCTCTCTCTCTCTCTCTCTCTCTCTCTCTCTCTCTCTCCCCCCCCCCCCATATAGATGGGAATCTTTTTCCCCAAATGGTGGCACTTTCACCAGTCATTCCTGGTGTTTGACAACAGCAACTTACACGTCCCTTTATGGAATGTAAAGGCATGAACTACTTTCTCCAAGAAAAGACAAAAACAGAAGTTGTCTAACTCACCTAAGTCCATGAAGCAATTGGCCACTGGCCCAGGAAGACACTGTCAAGACCTCTGGGGCTCTCACTCCACGAGACACATAATGTCAGAGGGAAAAGGACTCACACATCCAACCAAGTATTTTTAAAAGATAAAAATTCTAAAGCCAAAAAATGGCTAGAAATTGGTACCCTCTCCATTTTTCTTTCTAGTGACTTTCCCCTGCTTGGAGCATCAAACCAGCTTTAAAAGTCTTTAGCCACTTCACAAATACTGTACATTTGAGGCAGCTGTTAAATATAAGGCAATGTAACACTTCTTCCGTAATCAACTTTACGGACAATCCTTATACTTTTCCCAAAACGAGTGCTTCCGGTTACTAGGACCAACCCACCCATCAAAGGAGGAGGGAAAGAAAATTATAAATCAGCTTTGTTTTTGTGACCACACATTTTATTATATAAGCAGCACTGAATCTGTCCGCTCTTTACAGGGTAAGCTCCCATCTCAATAAAAAAAACCACAAGCCCAAGCGAGTGAAAGGAGGCAAAGCAGTACTTTCTACACAGTTCACAGAACAACTGTTTTCACAGCAAGTTCGCATGGAGGCTGTGTGATGTTGACGCGTGCCTGCTATGTGGAAGCCTGCTTACCAAGCTGTGAAAAGACCCATGTTCACTAGGAACCTGCAGAATTAATCTTCGCAATGTTCATAAAGCACAAGAGCCGCACTCTTTCTGAGACCTCGAGCTGGCTTCCGCACAATCCGCTGGCAAAAGTGGACATGCCTGAAAGGGTGGGGCCCTGAGAGGTGTGTCACCTGTATCAATTCCTATAAATCAAAGCCTGACAATCACGATATTTTAAAAAGAACGAATTATGATTCATAGACCTTCAAACATTTATTACCACAAGAATATTCTCAGTAGAAGGGGGGAGTTACTCTGACTTGATTAATGACCAAAGCAAGACAATAAAATAAATCTCATAAATATAAGGAAAAAAGCTGAACAACTGCTCTTGGCTTCGAGGCTAGGCATGTAAATAATTCCACCCTGAGATAAACACACCTAAAGATTTTATTTGTCCTCCCAGCATATGATACCAAGTAGTCTCCAGTTTTCACGGTTAAAAATAATAACTAATTTGTTCAACTAACGCTTAGATAGGAATATTTGATAAGCAACAATAATATTTAATTCCCAGCTAATTGAACTCTCAAATTGCCAAATATCAACCCCTCAATGTGGAAATCTGATGACAGGAAAAAGAGAGAGAGAGAGAGAGAGAGAGAGAGAGAGCGCTGTCCATCAGGAACACAAGCCTTTTCAGCCCATTTTTCTCCCTTACAGATTGGGGAAAGCATAATCCGCTCTAGTTAACACCACTGTTTGGTGTTTACTCCTTGAACCTACTGAATATCTCCACCCTGGCCCTCCTAAAATTATCCAGGCGAAGTTAAACTCCCAGCACCATCAAGGCCCCTGATAGCCAAGACCTACAACCCTGCTACAGAAGCCAGTAGGCTAAAGGCCAAGAAATCGGAGGCTAGGAGAGGCAAAGCCCGTGGTTAACTGGTTAAGTGCTGAGTGCACTCCTTAGTTATCCTTCCAGTGGGCAGCAAAACTACTCTTTCCCTCTCCAAACCCATTTCTTGAAAGGCTGAAGATGTACAAGGTTGGCACCAATTGAAACAACTTCCTCTCATAAAGCTCCCCCAGCTCAGGCCAGGCCAGGAGCTGGTCATTCCTAAATGAGCCACTCCCCACCACAGCCCAGGCCGCACGCCGCGAGCAAGGGCTTCAGTGTGCTCCCTTGCCAAGCGGCGACCCGTCCGGGGCAGAGTTTCCACGAAGCTGGCTCCAGCAGGCCGATGGAAGGCACATAGAGGAACCAGAGGGTTTTCGGAACCCAGGGATGGCAAGGGCACATGCTCCAGCCGAGCGCTGGCCAGAGGTAGCCTGCCAGGTGCTCTCCGCCTCCCCGGTGAATGGATGGTTTTGTTTTGTTTGCAAAATCTATTCCTTCAGACCACCAGCGGTAACTTCACAGTCCCCCATAGTGAAGTTGAGGAACGGAGGGGCAAGTTCGTCCCCTTCTACATTCTCCGTGCCGGGTGGCCACACTAACTTCTGGGGAGCGCCCAGCCCCCACAGCGCCTGCGGGCACATACACAGGCACACATGCATCATGTCAAAAACCCCAAAAGGCACATCCCCAGGGTCCTGTGGTTTCTTAGCTGGAAGAATGAAGGCTTTATAACGTCCCGGTCTTGCATGGCAAACCCACTCCCGGCACCCTCGCAGGCGTGGTGGCCAATTACAGCGCCCACCTCCCCCTCCCCCTTTGCTGGGATGCTCTGCAGCCCCGAGAGGGAGCCGGTAAGAAGGGAAGCAGGGGGAAGGCCCTGCTCACACCCGGAAAGTAAAGGGGCAGCGGGAGACTTGTGCTGCCCGGTCCCCCGCTCTTTCCTCCCCACCCACCCCACCCTGTCTTCTCCCAGAGCATCCCCCCAACTAATTTCTTTTTAAATGAAATGTAACAAGCTTCTTGCCTACCTTGGCTGTTTCTGCAACAAGTGCATGGCAAAACGACAGGAAGCCCAGTCTCCGCTTGGGGGGTGCGGTGGGGGGCAGGCGGCGCTGCTGGAGTAATTTCAATATTAATTTATGTCAGCCGCTTTCTCGCAGAGCTACTCACTCCCAGTACTGCCCTCAGCCCGTAAACAAATATCGCTCCGCCAGGAAACATACTCCCCAGATGCAAGCCCCTCTCCCCAGCAGGGAACCTGGCCCCTCGCACCCCACCCCACCCCCAACAGCGTGCTCCCCCTCTCCCAGTGGGATGCGCAGGGTTTGCAAAGCACCCACCCACCATCTCCACCTCCATCCCTGCAAGAAACTTACTCGGCCCGTCTACGCCTCCACCCTCCCTCCAGGAAATCTCTCCATATGCATTCAGCCTCCCCGCAGGAAATCTGCTCCCCCCTCCCCCTTCTATATGCATGCACCCCTCCCTCTGCGGCTCCCCACACGCCCTCCCCCGCCAGAAACTTACGGGCGAGCTAGCGTGCAGGCTCTCCCGATCCTGGAAACTTAGTCCCAGCTATAGTGCCCGCCAGCCCCAGTTCCCGGCCCGGCTCCCCTCCTGCCCTCCGCCGCCAGCAACTCTAAACTCTCCGCATCCACCACTCTCCCTCCCCGGTGCAAATTCGCAGCGCCGGGCTGCGCGCGTGCAGCCGCCCGCCCCTTCAGGAAACTTACTCCCCGTCTGCATGCACCGCCTCAGCCATCGCTGGGAGGGAAGGGGGTGTGCTGGGGAGCCCGAAATACATATGCATCTCTCGCCCCTCCCCCGGCCGCAGCCCACTCGGGGCCGAGCCGCGGCAACCTGGCCTTACCTTTTGCATGGCTCCCCACCCTCTCCCCCTCCCTTAGCCGTTCCTCAGCACCCCCTCCTTTTTCACCCATTACCCACCCCTAGCAACCGTTCCCAAGCTCCTCTCGGCCTTTTTTTTTTAAATCCAGGATGCAAATTCCTCCCCTGTCAGCAAATCGACTGTCAAATTATTTTCTTGCAAAAGGAGAAAGGCGGGGTGAGGTGGGGGGAGCAAGAGCAAAAGGGGGGGAGGCGGGGGAAGGGAGGAGAGGGACAGAGGAGGGGAGAGATATCCCTCCGCAAAGCCGGGCTGTCCGCGGGCGGGGAAGCAGGAAGTAAGGTGTCCAGCGTCGCGCTCGGCCCGCGGGTCCTCCGCGCGGCCCGCGCCCGCGGCCCCTGTCCCCTGTCCCCCGGCGCGCCGCGCTCGGGCTGGCGGGGGCCACCTGGCGCATTGTTCACAGCCTTTCTGGCAGTGCATGTGTGCGCTCTGCGTACGCGTGAGGTTGCACCTTTTGTAGGCTGGCGAACCCCTGGACAAGGATGGGACGAGGCCCCAGCGACTGCCCCGCACGGGACCTGTCAGTCCTGGGCTGCAGCGAACTCTCCCGCGTGGCCGGGAAATCGAGGCCCGGGAGAAGGCAGCGTGGCCAGGAAGATGCCGCCTTACACACGGACCCTTGCAGGATTGCTTCCTGCGTAGCCGCCCCGGTTATTGTAGCGCGCGTTCCAATCTAAAGACTGAGGTTGGGGGGCGGGGGTTGCTTGCTTATTTATTTCTTTATTTTCGGAAGGCTTTGCCAAGATGCCAAGGGCCAAGCGGGCTGCGAGGGGACGGGCTGCGCCTGCCCCCGCCGCACCCGGCCTCGGCGGGGCTGGGCGGGCCTGGGGCTCCGGGAAGGGCCTGGGTGCTCGCAGCGCGCGCTCCATCCCTCCGCCCCGTGGGGGCGGGGAAGGGCCCGAGGAGCTCCGGGGAGGGGGCTGCGTCTCCGCGGCGCGCGGGCCGGGGAGGGAGGTTGCCTAGGAGAGGGGGCCGGGCGGGCGGCGGAGAGGGGACCCGGGAGGGGGCGCGGGTGCGGCCGCACGCCCGCCCCTCGTCGCCGCCCGCCTGCTACCTCGCGCGCCATGACTGTGGGACGTGGTGCGGGGAGGAGGGACGGCAGCCGGGGGCCGCCCGGGGCTGCTCGGCATTGGTGCGGAAACCCGAGCCCGAGCGCTCCCTCGCGCTGTCTCCTCCTCCTGCTCTGCGGGGGAAACCGCTGCACCCAAACGGAGGGCAGCTGCGAGCCGGGGGGCAGGGCTCGCGCTGCTAGGAAGGCGAGCCGGGGTTCGAACCCCGGTGGCGCGGGGAGCGGGACAGCGCCTAGGTTCTGCCCGGGCCGGGGGCCTGGAGCCCAGCCCGCGACCCGAGTCTCCCAGCGGGAGCCCCAAGAGTTGAGCCTAACCGACCACTCAACGCTGGGTTGGAGGCGTCAATCGCATGCAAGGCAGCGAGGATTTTTTTCTTCCACGAGGGAAAGTTAATCCATTCTTCGGTGCGGGATCGTTGCGCCATTTACCCCCAAATCTCGCACAGGCTAAGCAAGCTGCTCCCGCGCTCGAGATCTCCGCCACTGCCCCCCACCCTACCCTGCCCCCACTCGGCCTCCGGGTGTGGACAGGGCGGGGGAAGGCGATACGGGAGCTTAGAGCATGAGGTCATGGGCGGAGGAGGCTGCAGCCCTCTGCGGCCAAGGAGGAGTTTGTATTTTGAGGGGTACCGGCTCTCCATCTTCTCCAGGGAAAAGCCCTTCCGCCTAACCCTGCCAATTCTGGGGCGCCTGGACCAGAGAGCCCCCTGAAAGAGGAGGGAGCGCCGTACTACTTCGCTCAATGAGGGTCTGACCGGCGCCCAGCCACTGACAGCCCAGCCCCAAATCAAAGAAAGATGGGGAACAGCGCACAGGATTGCTTCAGATCCTCGGTCATCTTCTGCAACAGCCTCCAGAGGGTCTTTCTGCCTTGCCTCGTTGCTCACCTTTAATCCCCCAAGCCCTCTTTGTGCTCCTAGAATAAAGTGCGTCCGAAGCTCTGAGTGGTTTCGCCTCTGCGGACCTCTTTACTGCCCCCCCCCCATCGTGTGCAGCCAGCTTTCTTTGTTGGAAGGGTTCAGGCTCCACACCCTTCCCCTGCCACCTCTCTCTTAACTCCTGCTGGACCTTCAGGGTGTGACTCAGCTGTCACTCCCAGAAGGCTTTCAGCATGCACGCCCTCATCTCTTAACTCCCTGAGGGGAGAAAGACCCACCCTCGAACTCCTGGCAGCGGGGCGGTGACGAAGTTACCCTTTTCCAAGCCGAGGAGGGACAGCCCAGTGTAAGCACCACCTCTGCTCAAGAGCCTGACCGAGCACCTGAAAGGGAGTTCGCTTAGCCCGACTCTTAAATGTCCTCTTTCCTCCAGGGACCTGGAGAAAGCAGCGCAATTCCCCCTCCCCCAGCACACACCCGCACTCGCTAATGCCTAACATGAGAGGACTTTTAATCTAGCTCCTCCCTGGGGCAGATAAGGAACCAGAGCAGATAAGGAATCTGAGGCTCCCGGAGGAAGTCAATTGCCCCGGGCCAGTGCAGAAATTTACATCCTGGTCGTAGGGCGTCCAAACCGGAAGCTGCAGAGCATTTGAGATTTGGTTCCCCCGCTGCAGCTACTGCACAGCCCAGAACACTTAGTCACCTTCGAAGCACCCACCCACACATACACGTTTAGACCCGTGAGTTCATTGCCCAAAGGCAGGTAAGGTAAGTCAACCAGTTATGCGCAGGCTCTGACCTTGGGCTGCTTAACATCACCTGATTCAGTTCCTCTGGCTGTAAAATGGGATTGGGGGTACCTACTGGATATCAGTGTGAGGTTTCAATTGGTTAATATTTATCGGCCTTAGAACAGGTAGCCAGGCAAGCTTCTGATTATCTGTGAATGGAGGCATGTGCCTCTCTGCCCATTTCCCCAGCACTCCAGAAAATGAGGTTCCAGCGGGGGAGTCTTAACCGATGGAGCAAGAATTAGCTATGGCCTAAAAGCTTGCTGTAAATACACCGATAATACAGAGACCTCATTCAGCCAATAAAATCAACCCTCAACTCGGGAAGGCAAAGGAATGCAATTCTGTGCACACTGGTTCTGAACATACAGAGGAAAAGGTTGAAGGGAGGACAACTGAGATTAAAATATTACTTTTGCATCTTTGAGACAAAAGTCAGGCCAACACAGTCCCAATCCTGAGGCAATTGGCTGCACAAAATGTGAAGGGTTATTATCATCCATAGATGTGGAAGAGGATCTCATCACTGAATTGCCCAGACTGGGCAAGGATTTGTGAGCCTCCTGCCTCAGTCTCCCAGTGTGATGGGATTACATATATGCTGGTAAAAGACTTTCGGGAAAATATAATTTGATTTTTGGAATAGGCTTAATGCCTTTCTGTGGATTCAGATTCAAATCAACAACACAGTCTCCTCCCACTCTGCCTACCACCTGCCCCAGTTTTTCCTCTATGGTGAGTTGAGGATTAGCAGTCCGAAGACTCTGCTGCTCTTTGACCTGGGGCTTGGTGAGCCTCCTTGGGTGCCTAGCTAACGCCTTACATTCAAAGCACCTGTCTCCAGCCCAAGCAGAGCCTCCACACTGCTCCTGCCCGACTCCTCAGCCTCAGTTCTAACAGGCTCTAATCACCAGGGTGATCCCCAGTGTCAAGGCAGATGGTTGAACCCTTCCTTCTTCTACCTCCTCCTCCACACTGCTCATCGTTAACATCCTCTGCGCAAGTCCCATGTGCTGGGCACTGTGCTACATGCTACACTGGAGCTTTCTGGTTTAATCTGCCTCCTAACATCACTATCTTTGCTCTAGAGAGATGCAGGCAGAAAGGATGTTTCCAAGAGGTTGCATGATTCGTACCAATTTGCAGCCAGTCCAACCCGAACCCAAATCCTCACTCTTAAATATTTGGCATTCTTGTTTCTCTCTGTCTCCATCCCTCTTTCTTTTTTCTCTGTACTTCTTTTCAAAAGTATACAAGAGAGGGCTGGCCAAATAGCTCAGCGGATTAAAGCACCTGCAAGCAGGGGCTGGGGGTTCAATCCCCAGGCCTGCCCTGCTGGATCCCCTGCCCCCCACTGAGATGGCAATTGAGACGGGGCGTGGTGGCGGGCGCCTGCAATCCCAGCTCTTGGAAGGCTGTAAACGGGGGAATCACTATGAGTCCAGTCTAGTAGTGAGACCCTGAACACCCTGTAGACCCTTGCCTTAAATAAATAAATATTAAAAAGTACACAAATGAGATCTTAAAGGCATGTCGTGCAACTGAAATGATTACAGGTAACTCAACACTGTCCTCATAATGTCCCCTTTTGGTTATATTTTACCAACTTGAGACCAATTAGAGATGCATTTGAAAGACAGGGTTTTCACCCCCATGTAAGTGAAAGGATAAAAAAGCCAAGGCCTCAAACTGAGTTTTACAACACAGAGGGAAAATGAAGAAAGGTCCTGTCCAGCAAGCTACAGTCTTCCTCCTGTCCCCTCAGCTCTTCCTGGTTCTGACTGTAGTGTTTGCTCTTGAGCACTTGACCTGTCACATCTCTGCGGCAAGGACAAATCATAGCAAGTGGCACAGCAAGTGCCGTTTCCAAAATGCCCACAACCAGAGTTGGAGGCACTGGGTAAAATTCTCCTCCCCACATCTTACCAGTTTCATCGTGTCCAGAACTGTGACTGTCCTGTCTCTTCTACTTTGGGAGGGGGACCGCCAGGGCTCCTTCCAGCTTCTAGCCTGGCCAGACCGTTGTACTTCCCACCTCAAGAACAGACCAGAGCTGGATGGAAATGGAAACGTGTCCAGTTCATAAGCATAGGAAATGTCTGAGGCCTGGTGGGTGTTCATGTATTGTTCCAGGGTAATTTTTCTACACACTGGATTT